AAGCAGGAAATTAAAGAATTGGTGAAATCTAAGTTTGATTTTTTGGAGAAAAAACTCTCAAAAGTGGTTAATGGTTTTACAGGATTTATGAAACAGTTGGACGCAAATACTAATGTACTAGAGTCTAAAATGGAAGAAATTCAAGATAAATTGGACAATAGAATTCAAAAAATTGAAAATGATTTGACAAACACTCAGGATAATAGCTTAGAAGAAAAACCTAAAATGGATGCTGATCAAAAGTATGGTAATGCAGAAAATCTGCAACAGAAGATTGAAAAAGAGATTTTAATGGTACAATATAATTTTACAGAATATGCGATAAGATTAAGAGGTTTGCAGGAAAATAATAGAGATGATTTAAGGAAAATATCTTCTGAATTTCTAGCTGGGATTCTAAAGGTTCAACCTGACGAAGTGTTTTGTAGGATCGACAGAGTTTATCGAATCAACTCCTGGATTGCTAAGCAAAGGCAATGGCCTAGAGATGTGGTGATTTATTTTACAGATAAGGAGATTAGGAATAATATCGTTCAAAACTCCTTCAATTCTAATTTGCAATTGTATGGAAGAAAGATTTGGATTTACAAGGAACTTCCACCTAAGATATTGATGGAAAGGAAGAAATTTGGTTTTCTGGTGAATGAGTTAAAAAAGAGAAATATCTCCTACAGGTGGGACGCCCCAGTGGGTATTATATTTAGATACCAAGGAGAAAGATATCAGCTAAATACTGTTGAAAGAGCGGAAGAATTTTATCAAAATAGGTTGAAAATGAACTTAACATCTCCAGGTATAATACAGGATAAGCAGAAGGAGCTGGAAATAAAGGTAAAATATCGAATTACAGAGACTGTACCAGATGAATTGCCTTTGGATTTAATGGATACCCCAGCTGGACTATCTACAAATTTGAGAGAAGAGGCATTTAATCCTAATGTGATGACTTATCAAGGCAAGGATAAACATGGAAACCAATTAGGGGATATACAAGGGATAAAAAAGAAATATGAGATACAAAAGCAAAACCAACAAGACCAATCTACAAAGCAGAATAAAAACCGACCAGATGATACACACTTTATAGAAAGGGAACCAGGATGGAAACCAAACCCACAAAAAGAAAAGAAAAAAAGAAATAGGTGGCATAAAAACAGAAATTTCTAATCAGGCAACAGTGAAGCCAGTGATTTTAAAATATGAACGATTATGTGTAAACACAGAAGAGGCGACGTATTGGTTAATATCATCCTGAGGTTTGTGGCAGATCTCTGCATGGCCGTAATCTGGGGACGTGAAACGAGCCTTAAACTGATGGATTTGAATTATCCATTTTGGAATTTCTTTTTGTGTTGATAAACATATTATATTATCTTGAATCACAAGGCAAGAGAATTATGCTGGGGCATGCAGAAGATCGGGTTGTTACCCACTACGATGATGGGAATTAATAATCCTGATGAAACCCACAATTATTACTATATGGAATATAATTATAATGTCACTCGGGTGGTTGTTTTTACTTTTATACATATAAGAAGATATTTACTACTGATGGGGGCAGATATGATTGAAGATCCTGAATAAACTGTTGCACCAGTAAGCTATGTTACCCGATTATGGATGTTGGTTCTACCAATCCAGTGGAAAGACCTCAAAGAAGATACTATATGGATTATAAATTTAAAGTCATTGTCTTTTCTTTTTTTTTTATTTAGATATAATGGAAAATATAGACATATATTTTTAAGAAGTGTGGGCAGTGAATCAAAGATGTTAAGAAATGTTGTGTATGGCAATTTTGCATGATAGTGGGTGAATAAGCTATTTAGTAGATTGATTAGTCTAAGAAAAGGGATTTTTAAGTGTTATATTTAGGGGAGTGGAGGAAATGGATAGAGTGGAATAAATGTTAAACTAGATTTTATGGGGAAGGCCGCTTTGGAATGTTATAGTAATATATATAGAAGATTAAATGTTAAAGTAGGACTTATCGTATAGTTTTAAAGTGGAGAAGTTATTTTATAATGTCATAGTATAATGTCTTTTTTTCCCCTTTCTTTTCTCTTTTTTGATATGTATGGATAAAGGGGGATGTTATAATATTAATAATATTTTTAGTAAGTAAAGGTCAATATCTAGAGGAGGGAGTAAGTAATCTGTAATGAATTAGGTTTTTTTTTTTGTTATGAAGAAGTCACAGGGGGGGATGGGTGGGGAGGGGGGTTAGGGAGGGGGAGGGAGGGAGAGGGGGAAAAAAGGGGGGGAAATTTGTATTTGAAAACTTTTTCAATAAAAAAAAAAAAGAACAGAACTGTACTGGGATGTACTAAACTATTTCTGATGTGGAGAATTTGTTTTTGAGCATAGTCAAACCACTCCTGGAACACCATGGCTTGGGAAATAATCTGGCATAGTCCAAAATTCCCTGGAATGTTCTATTCCCAAATCCTTGAGTTTTGTTAAATTAAACTAATTAATTCAATTAACTAACTGAAAGAAATCCAGAAAAATCTGAGGTTCAAGAATTATATTTATATGGAGAACAAATTATTGCTTTTTGTATGTAGATGATGCTGTATCTGATTTAATTTATTTCCTGCATAAATGAATATTGAGTTATGAATAAAGTATTTATGTTTTCCTCGGGGGGAAAAAAAATGGTTTTTAAAAGTAAAAAAAAAATTGGCCACACCCACCCAGTCACATTACCCCCCCCAAGCCACGCCCACAGAACCAGTAGTAACAAATTTTAGATTTCACCACTGGGTCAAATGGTGTTGATTATAAACCAGAACTACACTATTTTGATTTTTCTCTGGCAAAAGCCTACTCCAAATACAGCTTTTATATCAATTAATTTAGAGCAGTCAAGAAACAAATCAAATAAGTTTATAACATTAAAAACTGTTAACTATACTGCATGAACAACATTCTGGCGAAGATATTGTCCTTTGGTAGAATGATTGGACCTGCTCATTTGAATAATAGAATATGAATTCTAGTCAGGACGAACATTCTTTTTTTATCTATCTTTTCTCTTCCTAAAACTATGATGCATTAGATGGAAACACGCAGTTTGTGTACTTTGTAGCATTTTATTCAACAAATCAGTTGACATAATTCCAAAAATGGCATATCCCTAGGAAACTGAATTTTCCAAATATTTAATATAATTCAAAATACACAGGGTAATTTATTTTAGAGCTGAAGCTTTACTTTTAAGAGTACAAAAATACTTGTGAAATAGTAATTCATTGTGATGTGCAGGTGGAAAGCCACATTCAGTTTGCAGATACAACTGAATACATTACTTTAGAAAATATCTAAAGTATCTAATTACCACTGAGAGAACAGATGTGAGTTCACGGATTGTAAAACCATCTTGAACCTCAAAGACACCCACATCCACCCCCCCCCCCCCCCCCCACACTATATTCACATATCGTATTATAATCCTTCCTCTCTCTCCCCCCCCTTAGTTACTTTACATTTTCCTCGTGAATGAAGTAATCCCTACATTACAAATCTGTAAAGGCCATTAAGTGTCTCTGATATACAAGATGCTTGATAAATAATATTTCATTCTGGATTTGTGCCTTCCTGGATGAGTATATTGCTTCTCGGCATAGAGTACTTCTTTTTTAATTGCTCCAACCTATAAATATAGAATAGATTGTTAATGTTAAAAAAATATTTTCCATAATTATAAAACAAACCCAGAGTAGGGATTAAAAAGTAAACTTGAGTAAACTTAAGCTTGACTCCTGTGGATGCCATACATGCAGCCATTCATTTTTTTGACAACAGTATAAAAGTGATTTGCCACTGCCGCTTTCTGTGATTTTTTTTTATTTTCCAGTTTAATCTACAATTCTGAAATTCCTAGAGAGCCTGTCATGCAAATACTAAATTGACCCAACCCTGCTTATTTTCCCAGCCCAGGTAGAGTCAGCCAAGTGTTTCCACACATTCACATATATACACATACACCGCGCAGAAGAAATCAGGAATGTATCATTAAAATTATAACGTCACAAAGTAAACACTTTTCACAGATTAGCAATAATAGCAGTAGTAATTGCCATACTTTCATACACTCCAGAACAAGTTCAGCCAAAACCCTGGATGAACAGATGGATCTCAGCTATGCCCAAAAATTCACAGTGCTAAACTAAGTAGGGAGCAAATTCCATGCTTGGGGCATTTGCCTTGAAAATAGCAGCACTGTGTTTATAATTTCTTCATAAGCATGGCTTGAATTTGCGTTAACACTAAACAAGTCGCCTCCAACTCACTGATAATTCATATTCCCCCCCCCCGCCAAACTTTCTTGGATACTTCTCAGAGAGAAAACAAATAAAACAATGTGGGTATTTCCAAGCTTTTTTTCCCCTGAGAACATGGAAAATCAGCCACAAAGATTGTTTCCAGTCCTCTCTGCTAATATTTCCATTTCCCAAACAAATGGGAAGAGCTAGAAATATATCTCTACCTCTAATCTTCAACTGGAATGGGAGTGATCATGTGCTGAGTGCTTGGTGGATCTGCTCTTGTTTTGCTTTCTTTCCATCTTCCCAATACAGGAAGTCCTCCGCGTTCAACTACAATTGGAACCAGAATTTCCATTGCTAAGCAAGTTGGTTATTAAATGAGTCACGCCTGATTTTATTTACCCTTTTTGCCATGGTTGTTAAGTGAATCACTGCAGTAATTAAGTGAATCTGGCTTTCTCCCATCGACTTCACTTATCGGAAGCTGGCTGAGAAGGTTGCAAATGGTGTTCATGTGACTCCAGGACACTGCAACTATCATAAATACATATCAGTAGCCAAGCGATCATGTGACTGTGGGGATGCTGCATTAGTTGTAAGTGTGAGGACTGGTTGTAAGTCAGTTTTTCAGTGCCATTGTACCTTTGTTGCTAAATAAATGGTTGTAAATTGAAAACTATTTGCATCTATGATTGCCCCTTGCCCATTGATCAATTACTTTTTCAGGTACCATTCTGAGGAGATGAAGGAGAATACAAGAAATTAATGACATTCCCTATCTATCAGCAGACTGAATCTTCTACTGGTATGTATTTATGTGTGAGTTTGGCCTACTCATGTATGAACCAGTGTGAATGTGTTGTATCACGACTTTCAAAAACTTTGCTTTTCTTGTTAATTCCAAATAATTGTTTTTATTGTTGCTTCGTCCTCTTCAACATGTCAGTGAACTTGTTACATTCTAATAAAAAACGAGAAATAGGTATGAGCTGCTAAGACAGCTATGTACTTTTGGTTATTTAATAGTACTAAGCCACTAGATTCACCTGATTAAATTAAAAGTTTTTTATTGTACTGTATTTTGATTTTTTTTAATTGAAAGCATACATTGCATGAAACTAAGAATGTACAGTAGATGCGATTATGACTGCTGAAATATTTGTTGGCTGTAAAAATCACTAAACCATTAAAAAAAATCTTTGCAACCCCAGAAAGCAAAGATCCCTTTCTCCTTATCTAACCTAATTTATGAAACCTTACTACGTGTGATCAAATCTTGCTTGGTTTCTCATTTTATCAAGCAGACAAGATTAAAATGTCTCACACGTTCCAGAGGCATTCCCACGGGGTGTGCTGTCTGAATGCTCTGGTCTTTCTCAGACAGCAACAGGACATATAGTAGAAAGCTCAAATGTCCTTTGAGAAGTTGCTGCTCCTCGTGCCCATTTCGGAATCATAACAGAGAATGAGTGACTCAGGCTGTAGTCTAGAGAAATGAGTCAAGAGCAAAACAAACATTTCACTCATAAGCAAGAGGCAAATTGGCTAGCACATAGGAATGGTTTTCACTTGGCAGAGACGAGTTGATTGAATCTGACTTGGTAGTTTTTGCATATTGCAGTCAGCTTTGAAGTACTGGCACTCATCGTTGTACTAGTACTATTAACCTAACTGTGTTGTATAATGAGCTTGGTGTTTTGAAAATAAATAGCAGGCACAGGAGACTTTCCATATAAAAGATTCACCAAAGGTTATGTTGTCTTCAGCCATGAAGAAAAGAGAAAGGGGAATTATAACATTCATTGGGAACAGTCCCTCAGGTGGTATGTTCATTCCATATTCTGAGGATAAATAATGGGCATCTCTCTAGGATTTGTTCCTTTCTGCATTTTTAAAATCTAAGCAATACCAACAACACAGATTTCTGTCTGGGTTTGGTTCAGATAGAATTGAAATGGTTAGCTTTAATTAACAGGCCAAAAATTTCTAATTCCATATATACTATAATTGGAAGAGTCACTTAGGTGATATGGGCGGTGTAGAAATTTGATAAAGAAAGAAATAAAATAACATTGTTTCTTTTTAATGAGATAGAAGAAAGGACAAACATGAGCAAATAATTGTATAAGGTGATCTGCTATTGGAATTCTGGTGGCATTATTTTTGGGAGTGATTATTTCTATTATTTGGCATTATTTCCTACTATTTGGATATGTACAGTGTCATGGAATGGAAAACATGTTTCAAGGCAGGCAGTTTTCCAGAATATTATCCCACATTCCCAATATCTCTACATAAGCACAGAGTAAAATGATATCAAACTTATGACATCATAATGTAAATGGCATGAATTATTATATCATTTCCTTCAATTGACACAGATCACATCATATGCAACAATGACATGTGATTTCATTTTCACCTTGTCATCTTCCCTCCCCCACTCAGATATCTTGGTTTATTCATAATTATTTGGTAGAGTATTTCTAATTTCTTCTTTACTATGTAGATTGTTTCCCTACATTATGCTAGCTGCGCCACAATATAGTTAGTTTAGTTTTTGGCATAGCTGTGTGATTACAGTCATTACAATTTGTAAATCAATGGTTTATCGCTCAGAGTATGATGTAGATCCAGCTTTTCATGGTCTTTTTTTTTTCTTTTTAATTTTTTAATTTTTCACCTACCTAATAAATGGAGAAATTGAATATTTTTCTTTGATTAGATGAAAGACATTCTTTATGTTTATTATTGAGTGGAAGCCTCTTATGGACTTTTTACATAAAAATAAATTTGTGATTTATAATTTTGATGATTAGACAGAATAGATTTCAGAAAGAAGAATATTATTTAACTGTACAGAGAGAGGCTAAAAAAAGATTATTTTACAGAAAAGTATCCAGGGACATGATCTCAAATGTTATTTTATAAAACTTCCTATTTAAAACAAATTCAAATTCAAATTGAGATGCATTATTTAACAATGCTTATTTATTAAATATATGTATCCATCCATCTACCAATGGAATTCTGTGCATACATGATTGCAGGGAGCAACGTGATCTAAATGTAGCTTAGAATTTATTGTTTTCTTTAGAGAAATATTTCAAAAATAGTTTAGTATTTGCATGGGATAATGTGGAAAATATGAAATACCGAAAAGAGCAATTTACAGGATTTTTAGTATGCATTGAGCAGATACAGAGTTTTGCTCAAGAATTGGATTTTTTATGGCATCTGAATGTGAAAAGTTAAGTCAGATTTCCATGATTCCTTAAATATTGACCCATAAAAATAGACATTCTTGGATGGATTCTATTCACAACAACCTCATTAAACATCCATTTTCTCTTGCCTTAATAGTGAGCTTTTTCAAATTGATGATCCATTTTTAAGGTAAGAATAGAGAACTTGCAGTGTTGCAGATGCTGATGAACAGAATCCCTTAGACCACAGTTTCTCAACCCCAGCAACTTTAATCTGGCTGGGGAATTCTGGGAATTGAAGGCCACATAGTTTAAAGATGCAGAGTTTAAGAGCACTGGTTTAGACAGTGTGGCCAATAGTGAAGGATGCTTGGAAGGCCACAACTTCCACAAATCTCTTTTAAGAAACAAACCATCTGAAGCAATAAAGGAAACCTAATAAAAAACATTAAAAAGTGTTTAAATGTAAACAAAACGCAATCTATGGTTGACTAAAGAAAAAAATCCCTCTCTGCCTGTAACAAATAGCAGAATTATAATTGAACAGAACTGAAAGTGGAAATTGATGCACTGATTCAAATTTCTTAATAATTTATTATCTCTGGTGGATTCATTACAGGAATGACTATAATTCCCTTAGTTAGAAGAGGAGGCCTACGTGAACATCATTATTTGTACATGATATTTTATTCAGAAAGTACTGTAATGTGATCATGTATTTCCAAGTCAACAAAAGAATTTGTCTGTGGTAAACAAAGAAGCCGTGAGGTGAACCCTTTATAAATGTAGCCTTGAAGTGAATAGATCTGGTTCCATAAGTGATCTTAAAGATTATACTGTCAAGTAAAATACATAGCCATCTTTTTTTTTAAAAAAATCTATTGTTTAGAGACCTCCCTTTTAGGTTCTTGTTCTTTAGTTCCAGTTTTAAATCATTAGACATTATGGATTCACCCTGCCAATTCTGATAGCTGAAATGTTCACACAGAGATAGAACACACTGTATGCATTCATAAAAGCATTCTCCAAATGGAACACAGCTTTAGGTAATTGCAATCAATATGTTTGGCCATGACATTTCATTTGGAAATGACAAACAAAAATATCAAATTGAGGTATGCATTACACCAGGATTACATGGCCTAAGAAATGTGAGGGAAACACATCCCATCACTAAAGCTGTCCCCTGTCCATTCATACCCGACTTTAGGGGGTGGTGCTCATCTCCATTTCTTAGCAGAGGGACCCAGTATTGTCCAAAGACATTTCCATGGTCATGTGGCCAGCATGACAATATGCTGAGGTGCATGGAATGCTGATACCTTCCCACCAGGGGTGAAATCCAGCAGGTTCTGACAGGTTCTGGAGAACTGGTAGCGGAAATTTTGAGCAGTTCAGAGAACCAGTAGCAGAAATTTTGAGTAGTTTGGAGAACTGGCAAATGCCACCTCTGGTTGGCCCCAGAGTGGAGTGGGAATGGAGATTTTGCAATATCCTTTCCCCTGGAGTGGGGTGAGAATGGAGATTTTGCAGTATTCTTCCTCAGCCATGCCCACCAAGCCACGCCCACCAAGCCACACCATGCCCATCAAGCCATGCCCACAGAACTGGTAGTAAAAAAAATTGGATTTCACCACTGCTTCCCACTGAAGTGGTGCCTATTTATCTATTTGCATTTGCATGCTTTTGAATAGTTAGGTGGGCAGGAGCCAGGGCAGGTAACTGGACTCATTCTGCTGCATGATGCTTGGATCTTGAACCCGGGCTGTCAGCTTTCCAGTGAACAAGCTTAGCGTCTTTAACTGAGAAAATATAAACATAGATTTCAGAAAATGGCAGAATCCCTGTGTCTAGATCCTGTGCTATAGCCAATATGTTCCACCTGGACTAGATGCATACAATGATGATAATTGTACATAAAGATGAGAGAGGAGCTGATTCTGCCTTATTCTGCAAGTTAAAAGGCTTGCAGGGTTTCTAATCATATTTTATTGTTCTACTTTGACATTGTGCAGTCGATGATTTGTTCTGTTTATTCACCTGAGTTGGGATTCTGCAAAAGAGATGATTCATGTACATTAGGCCAGCAGTTGTACCAGTAGAACAGAACACTTGGTTTCTGACAGTGGCCAACAATTTTATTTAAATATATAGATGGGTAATTTCCTTGCATGTGGAAGTGTGGCCAAACAACCAACTGTTCCACAAATATTCCTTTTTGAAACCATTGATGCTTTAGAAATTAGTGCCATGCATCATTTAAAAACATGTCGCAATAGATATCATAACTATAGAATGTTGGCTCTGTAAGAAACCTTAATGTTTCTCATCCATGTAAATCAAAGGAAGAAGATGCTTGGTAGTTTCTTTTAAAAAGTGAAAGCATATTCTGTAAATGACATCAAACTGCCTATTAACTCCTCATGGTGCACCCTGGGTTGCTTGAACTAAATGACAGCGTGAGCTAAATGAACTAGCAAATGCTAGACTTTACTGACTTTCAAAATACAAGGCCTATTAACTACATTACTTAGACCACATCTATTTGCCCAAATAATACATTATTTAGACAAATTTAGATACATTTTATCAATGATAT